AATTACTTCGTGAAATTATTATTCAAATAGAAAAATTAAAACCAGAAACTCCTGATTTAACTAATCTTATAAATTTCACACAAGAAATTAAAACTTAAACACTCGTTTGTGGTATTAAGATTGGTGATTGACATTATGAGATATATATTTGTATTCATTTTATTTTATATTTATTATATTTATTTTTAAATAAAAAATATTAATATAAAAATTCAAACGATCTAAAAACTTCTTTTATATTATTATCATTAATTTCTTCCACATCTTTTCCATTTACTAGTACTTCAGTGATTGTATTTAAAAAATTTTTTTTATCATGTCCAGTTTCATATAATAAACCTAACTGATTTAGAGAATCTTGTATCGTATTAGTATTTTCTTCTGTAATTTCTAAAATATTAGCTAATGATTTTTTATATTCAATCATCACTAAATCAACACTTTTAATTATATCAATCTTCTCTTGATCCATACGTAAAGGATTATCCCAAGAAAATTCAGCTGGTAAAAAAAACATAGGATATCTACGTAATTTTTTAAATTTTTTATTTTTTTCCAATCGCTCTTGATTCATCATCGCTTTTTTACGTGGTTCTTCATAAAGATAATTATTAATATCTTTTACTAAATTATTTACTTCATTTATCTTCTTTCTTGTAAATTTCTTGTTCAATAAATATTTTTTATCTTTACCAAGAACCCAATTCAAATAAAGTACTTCTAACAATGATTTTTTATCTTTACTTTTATCATATACGTCTTTAATAAATTTTACGACCGATTTATTTTTTCTTGTAGGAAAAAACTTTAATAAATCAACGTTAGATAATGTTTTTTTATATTGAGTAATAATAAAATTAATTTGTTTATCAAAAGATCCTGAATTATCTTAAATTTGTTCTGCTTTATCTAAATTTCTTGCTGGTGTATCATCATCTTCTAAAGGACGTTTTGGTGTTTTAGGTGTTTTAGTATCATTTTCTTTTTCTTTTAATTCTTTAATTCTATCTAATCGATTTTGTTGAAGATTTATTTTTAATCTTTCAGTCAAAAAATTTTGATCAAGATTGTTTTCAATAGCCTCTTGCCATTCTTTTTGTAATTTATCAATATCTTCTTCTATTTTGATAGCTGAACTAATAATATCATATAACCCATTGTTATATTGAGTTTTTCGTTCTCTTTCTAGTTCTGATTTATCACGATTTCCTGTTAATAAAGTTTGATTTAATATTTTAATATCTGCAAATATTTCTGATGAATCTGATATTTCTTCGATATTTTCCGTATTATTAATAATATCTCTTATAAGATCATATCTTTGATCTTCTTCACTTCCTAATAATCGATTAATTCTCGATCTTCGTAAAATATGTAATTTTTCTTTTGAATTATCAGAATCCAAATATTCTTCTCTAACTTCAGTGATTCTTTCGTCGAAATATCCACCATCATTTAATTGTTCTAAGTCTTTTGATATTTCTATTTCTTTCTTTAAAGCGTTGTAATAATTGTTTACTAACAACTGTAACCGTTTCTTTCTTGTTGTTTGTAATAATTGTCTTTGATTTTCAACTAA